CCCCAAAACCCCAAAACCCCAAAACCCCAAAACCCCGTCTAGTTTTTAAATTTTTGAATAATTTTACGAAAATGGATGGATTTAACAGTTCAAAAGGCAATAGAATGGACAAAGGGTTCCGTGTAGCAGTTTCTCTACTTGAAAACCAGTTAAAAGAACTTCGAAGGAGAAAACAAGAGTCTTTAGATGACCAATCAAGGCTTTATCATAAACAGAGATATGAAGTCCAGGCTCTTCAGGAGATTTTAGGTAACTTTCTTCCTGAATTAATTCTAATTTACTCTAGATGAACGGGTCTCTACAATTTACAGACTCCAGGAGGAATATCGGATTCAACAGAACAAGTAGGATTATCGGCTAATTTTAGGTATACATTAGAGCATAATGGCCGTATTAAGAGAATCAAGGCTGAAGCTGAGTCCAAGCTTGATGTAATCTATGAGAATCATGAAGAGGGCAAGTTAGGCATGATCCAGTAAGCCATTACAATTACCAAATTGTTATTACAATTATTCTAAATTGATCTTAATACTCTGCAGGCTTAATAATCTGCCTATAGCCTAGTGAATGAAACAGAGAATGCTTTGAAAGAGCGTCTTGAAATAATTGAAAAGACTAAATCTAAGTACTCACAAGAGTTGAAATCTCGAAAATAAATTAGTAAACAAACTTAAATGTGAACTGGAAACATTGAACTACCAAAACGAAAAACGTATTTCTTCCCTAAAACTCATTTAGTGAAGCAAAATCTCGTCAAGATTTCAGAGAATAGTGAATATCTGGAGTCTAAATTCTTCGCTCTGAGAGGTACATTAATCATCCTGATCCTATAGAGGAGTATAACTTCAAGAAACGAGACAACGGTAAAATTGAGAGAACGCATGAGAAATTGACTGAAAGGCATGACAGCCTACATTCTATTGCATATGGGAAGGGTAATTTTGGGTCCAAGAGCACAAAGCTACGAGAAAAGTCTCTTAATCGTCAGAAGTTGTCCAGGAATAGGTCCACAGCAATGATGGGGACCACCAGGACCAAATCAGCACGAAGTTTTATAAATATCTGTAATAAGGAGAATATTGGGGCCCAAAGTATGGCAGAGCTTTTATAAACATCTTTGATAATCATTTCAACTAAATTGGTTAGAACTGGGGTTTTGGGGTTTTGGGGTTTTGGGGTTTTGGGG